GTGGATTTAGTTCGGGAAATTGAAAAAAAATAATCCACAATTCTTCCTCTTTTGCAAGGTTCGGTGCGAGTATTGCAGTGACTATCTCAGTCAATATTACCTCTAGAGGGTTTTGTACTTTATTCGAGGCTCCCTGTTTCTCTAAAATATTTGGTAGATATTGTAGGTGATTCAAAAGAAGGCCCCTCCTCCGCCTCCAAAACGAACTCGTCGACCTCCTGAAGCGCCCACGTTCGAGCAAACTCTTACTACTACCACGGTGGAAGAAGGCGATACCGCTAAACTAGAGGTTAGCCACTAAATTTTCCTTTATTTTATGCACGGGCTGAAACTTCTGACTATGCCGGGTAATATGGAGGGTTGCTTTAATTTGAGATATTTCAGGTAATTACCAAAGGCGAACCGTTGCCCGAAGTAACGTGGTCCTTCCAAGAACAACCTATCTACCAAAGCGAGACGATGAAGATTGAAGAATTCGTTAGTTTCTGTTTTTAAACTGACTTTAATGAGGAACGGAGCCGTAAGTCTCCCTCTCGATGCGAGAACAGAGTCAGGGCAGTTGGATTCATTTAACTGAATAGAAAATGTGCTCAAGAGTGGAACCTAGTGGGTTGAAGAGCTGCTAAGCTGTAAGCTGATAGGCGCATATGATAGTTCGAAGCTGAATAAAGCGGTAGTTGGTGCAGTTAATAAAATAGTTGGAAGTCATTGAGCAAAGGTTTCAGCTAGATGGCACATCTCGCTTGATCATTTCCCCAGTCACCACGTCTCATACTGGTATCTACACTGCAACAGCCATAAACGAGATTGGAGAGGCACGAACATCGGCCCTTCTCAATGTCATCGAAAAAAAGACCGTGGACGAACATATGCTTCAAGAGGTACTCATCCCAGTTACTTTTACCCATGCTCGGATGCAAATGTATACTATCAAAAAATTCGTTCCCCCTGTTCAATGGGGATGCCTTTCGGCTAAATTTGAACATGGCTCTTTCAGGATACTTATGAGACGATCACACGGCCAAAGGAGAGAACGGAGGAAACCACTCGAAGAGAAGAGATGCAGGTGGGATCTTAATCCCCGTAAGGAGTGGTATTTACGAAATGTTAAGGGGTGAAAAGTTTTCGTGTTTATATAGTGCTACTCGGTGCCCATCCCCAATGAATTTTGAATTCCTGCTGGAAGTGAAAAGGAGAATTCCATCAGAATTGCCTCAAACCCACCAGCCTTCCTAATTTTTTTCCAAATTTTAGTACACCGAGCAGCGAGAGATTCCAGTAACTACAACTGAAACAAAGAAGACTGAAAAGCGTTGGACTGAGGTCTGTTTCCTGACTTCTTTATCAAAAAGCTCTTGGACGCGATAGAATATGACATTCGAGTGTGAGAAGCAAACAAGAAAAGCGTTTCTGAAGAATAAAACCAGCACAAAAATTTGGGGAAAATTCTAGTTGATCGATGAGCAGATGTCCCAGCCGTCACCCGTACCCATTCCGATTCCAGTGGGCCCCGAACTAAAACCGATCGCGGTCGAGCAGAGATGGGTTGATGTCAGCATGTGTTTAAAAGATCCACTTGCTTACTCCTCTTCTAGCAATTTCAAAAGATCTACTTGCTTACTTCTCTTCTTGCAAACTCTTTTCCTTTGACATTCTTCCCTTCCCTGACTGTATATATTGTTTTCTGACAGAAATGATTCAGGAGATTGATGAGATTCTCGAACAACGGGCACCGGTTACAACAACTGAAGAAAAGGAGACGAAAACAGCCGAGACATACGTCAAGGTGAGCACACAGTCTTTCAAAAGAAATTGAACAACTTTAATAGTTCACAGATGGTGGACGAATTGATGCGAGATGTTGTTCCAAGATCTGTGCGGGATGAGAAGCGAACGGTTACCAGGAATGAGTCCGCTTACGAAGTATGGGTTCCCTGGAGGCACATTCAATGCGAAAAATCATATGAGGTTTATAAAAGAGGGCAAAAAAAAAACAAGATCTATCTGTAGCATAGGCTCTCAGGCGAATGTGGGGCAATGGGTCATTGCGAATTGTAGGACACCATCCACATTCACATTCATACGCACTATTTCACATGCTTAACAGTCCTTTTGCCATCGTTCCCTCTCTACTCCCACATCATGATCTTCCTAAGGGTGTAAGAACGGACTATGTAGGAAGTATCAACCAAAGTAGACAGCTGGTTTTGATACAAGAAACGCTTCATTCTGTTCTTTCGGGTTCTTCTTTTGCTCAGCGACTACGTTGAGGTTGATGCTCTGCTGTGAATTTTAGTACTGTATACGGTATCAGGACACCAGACCTGAAGGAAGGAGCGTTCTGTTTTTTTTTCTAAAAGGACACTTTTAAAGGCGGTTCACTGTAATCTGGAGGTATTATAGTTAGTACAAGTACAATAATTGGAAGGTATCTCACAGAATAGAGCAAAGGTACCGAAGAAAACGTGATGAACGTCGGATTCTGGAAAGTGCAGTAAAAAGAGGGGATACTAGAGATCATGACGTGAACTGGGATCTGGACGATCTGTCAGTTGGTGTAACTGCGTAAAGAGCAGTCCACAGTAGACCAAAAATAACGAAAATTGTCTTCCACGGGGCATATCCATAGTCTCGGAGTCAGGACGACAATGTCGGCGATTGTCGTCAATCGGTAACTGGCAAGTCGATGATACATGGTGCAGGCTTAAAGCGATCGAATAAAAAGGAAAGAAGGGGTGTGCAATCTTTGTTTTGCGACTGCAATTGAGAAAGTAAGGCTGGGGGACGAAACTTACGTGAGTTCGAGGACACGAGCGGCAAAATGCGGGCGAATTTCCTGGCGATTTGGACGGTTTTAGCGCCTGTCACTGATGCCCAAATTTGAAGTAGAGTCGATTCGTAGGATCGGCTGACCCTATTGTTACAAAGCAGCCTCTCAAGCACGTTCTGAAGCCCTTATTATGCCTTGTGTAGATCGTTTTTTAACCGGATAGTGCCTACGTGTTATGTATTCCTGGAGGCTATGTCGAACTAGGAAGAAATATCAGAAACTGTTTTAAGCAAGAACAGGAGAACAGATTTCTGGAAAGAAAAAAATGAAGCGATTATATTCACATATCCCGTAGTATTGTAATAATAGGGCATTCTGCTGCCGAAAGCTACAAAACGCCTCTTTCTTACCTTTTCAAGCTTGCTTGTCCAGCGGTTGCCTTTTGGGTCGGGAACTTGATCATCTCCTATTATTAGTCTCATTCAGTTAACAAAAGCTTCTGAATCGATTAGTAATCCTTCTAGGAGCAAGCTCCATGTTTGCCTTTTTTAAAACCTGGCATTTGTACTATTATTGGTCAATGCTTCTGTGGGAACAAGTTTTTTAATAGTGGAACAATTATCTGCCTGATCTTTCGGCCAACTCGTCATTATCAAAGGCCAAAAAGTGTCTCCTAACTTCAGAGTGTTACCTATGACCTTGACGTAGACCAGCTCTAAACTAGTTGCAATTCAGACGCATGAACTTCCAATTAAGTAGAAATTCTAACAAGTCTCCTCTTTTTAGAGCCTTATCCCTTACCGGTCTTTCGTAATACCTCCAAGTACACGGCTTTCAGTCCCGCCAATAAAAAAATTCCAAATTCAACGCACCATACCGGGCTGGTTCACGTGCATAGATGTCCTCCCACACATTCCATTATCCATTTTTCATAATGATCTAAAAGTAGGAATAGAAACTTGTCAACAGGTTCACGAGGCTCGTCCAGCACCGGTGCCCCAAACGACCAGTACTGAGCGCACCTCCACTGAAGTATTTAACATAGCGGTGAGGAGTGTCCATTTCTAGATCCGAAGAAATGTTTAGCCCACATGATTGTTGTGATATTCAGCAAATTCGGGAGGCCATTCCGCCGCCACCTGTGGAAACGACCACTACTGAGCGTGTCTGCACCGAAGTTCTCACTACTGGGGTGAGTTATTCTTCACAAGGCTCTCATGTCGCATCTGATCTTGAACTCTCCGTAAAATATTTACCAGAGTTCTAGATTGTTGCCTTGGGGTAACGGGGAGTAGTTCCTATTGACCAACTTCTACTCACACATCGATTTAGTGGCTTACATTTGTACCTAAACCTACTAGAACCTATTACCTCAGGCTTGCAGGAAGCCGCTTTGAGTTCCTCGTTCTGAGTTCCAGCTTTCTCACATGCCAAGTCTGATAACTGATGTAGAGAAGGGGACTGCGGGAAATCGTACATCATTACTCCGCATTAATCTGGTGCCCCGAAAACGATAGTACATCTTTGTTGCGGGATATTTTTGTCCGGTCATTCCTTTAATTGAAGAAAAAAACACCAGGAAACTCAAATAGGTAGTATCCCTTTCTTTGAATCACCAATGATGATATATCAAAGACTTTATCTCACTCAATATGTGGTGAATAAAAGCAGTCACGACAAGCCTGCAAGTTCAGCCGTTACCGTAGAATTCGTAGGAGATGGATAATTAAGGGAGGGTTGAATTTCACCATTCGGTACAATGGGAAGGAAGAGCCAAAGGCAAGACTGGGAAGAACTTATGTGTCCACCTGTACCCCTCTGCAAAAAGGGATATGGAGAATAACACTGGAAGCTTTATATGAGGGCAAAAAGACACAGTTTCGCATCCTGCCTACCCCCTAAAATTCTAATCATTTTGCTGTCGATCTGAAATTCTCGACATTCAGCAAATACATGAGGCTCGACCACCACCCAAAGTTGAGACAACCACCACTGAACACGTTACCACAGAAGTCTACAATGTTGGAGTGAGTGTTAAGTTGCTTTCCCGGCTTTTAGAGGATGGTTTACCTACACCTACAACTGTATTAATTTGTAGACTTACTATGAAGCCGTGCCACCGCCTGAGGAAAAGAAAAAACATATGGCCACAACCACTACCAAGGCCGAAACACTCTACTCTGCTGTACGTTTCCAGTTTTTCTGTCACTCTTACTGAACGTGATCCCTGAAGGGATAATGAATTTTCAGAAAGTTCAACCAACTCCGCAGGCACCTGAAGTACACGTGGCCACCAAAACCACCGATATTGTCGAAAGGGAGCACGCAGCTGTGAGCCAATTCTATTCTTCCATTTCTTCCGAGAACTAATCTGCCACTTGTATTCTTACAGTGGCCCGGTCCAAAGACTGTGGGCTTAAAGGCAATCGAATTTACCTCAGCAATACTATCCCATCGGTATAACCGAATAAGTGGATTCGGAGTACACAATGGGGTGCTCTGACCCAAGAATTCGCTCCGTTCCTTGACCATCCATCACAAAAATTCTGAGCCCTTCCAAGTTCTGTGTGAGGATTCCACCAACTCGGCCCAACGTTATTTTGAACTTTCTCATTTTATAATAATAATTACTTAACAGAGCTCATCGTGGTCATCGTTTTCAAACTACTCAAAAATCTTTTTTTTGGAAAAGTTGAGTTATCCTTTGCTACTTCATATTTTTTAAATCTCACATTATTAGACATATCCTTCATATAGCGATTTTAACGGATGTTTTGACTGGGAGAAATTATCTGGGGGTTTTCTGTGAAGGCTATACCGACAGCATCTAGGCATACTCTAGGAAATTATTATAATTTGACGTCGAGTTTAAAGAAGTGAAGGGATTGAATAGTTATTGCTTCAATGGCCCATCTAGGGCTAAGAACGAGTGATTTCATTGAGACGTCATCAATTCTGCGGAAACTATCTCTCAATCGAATTCTCAGTTGGTCACCGTAAGTCGTGGGAGGTGACACCGCATTTACTTCCTTCATGACAGTGCTCACTTGCTTGTTACTTTGACAACTTGTCACTTATTCCAAGAACGAGAGTCAAAGGTGCAGTTGATGATGATTTTGAGGCACAACTTTCAAGTTGAAAAAGTGTAGTGTTAGTGGAGAGTAATGGTGGCGAAAAAGCGAGAAGATCCGTCGGCTTTATGAATATTAATGTTTCATGAAAGTAGTGGAATGGTTGGGAGGTTGTACGAGGTTACTATGTAGGAAGTGGCATGGAAGGGATTTTTGGAAGAGCTTTCGGTTGTTGCAATTGCTTGTGGAGCTAAACACATTAAGCCAAAAATGTGCAAAACTGACTTCCACCGTCGCCATGGGTCGCGACTAGTTGTTTGAATTTTCAACGTGAATGTCCCTTGTGGAAGGAAGTGCCTCCACAACGCAGTCGAAACTCTTCCCCCTTCGGGAGTGCCATATAGTTGATGCAACCTTTGATCTTCATAAGATCTTATCTGAGCGTTTCCCGATCTGACAGCTTCAGTTATGGCACTTGGGAGAGAGGCACAGGTGATTCCTATGGGATATCTAAGAAGCCATTTGAATCGTGAACTGTGCCCTTAAAATGGGGAACTGTCTCTACTAACCTCCAATTTTCTCCCACCAGACTATCACTCATTTTCTTTGAATCCCAGCTTTTCGACATTGTCTTATAAACCTCTAGAAAAGATGGAGCCCAGATAGACCTTCATAGTGAGCTGATCGTTAATTCACTATCAAGTGAGGTATGGGAACCATAAGACTTGCATGGGATATAACGAATGGGTAAAAAATTAGTATTTAATACAGTCAAAGCACCCAAAGTTTCTCGTGGTCTACGTAACCGACGATACGTGAATGGATATCTTCCCGTAGATTTGATCCATTTCAAAATCTTTCTTTTCGTAAAGCGTTCCCAATCTGATTGCTGCCAATTTTGAACAAGAGAAGTGGAATTTATATAATCCCATTGGAAATGAAAAGAAACTAAGGGTTTTCTGGATTGCCGTTTCTGAATCTTTCAGATTTACAGGAGCTATCCTTACAGATTTCTTCTTTTTGTTGAAATAAATGAAAATTGAACTAGCTCAGTAGATGCCCGAGGCAAGATCATGCCCATTTGTTCCACTGCTTCATGAGGATCCATGAAGCTCCTGCGCTCAGTTGTACTAGTACACTGCTCCCACTTCGCAGTCGACACCTCAGCACAGTCGAAATTTGTCTTTCAGACAATCCGACGGACTCCTGTGCCAGAAACACATAAAGCGACACTTTTGGGTGCTTATTCGCTGGAAAATATCGCTGTAAGTGATAATCCTTGGCGATGTTCATGGAATGTCATGAGCTTAACGAAAATTCAGGCAATCCAACAGCCAATAACTCCAGAAACTCACAGGGCCACCATTTCTCGTGGAGCATCTTTGGAAAATATAGCTGTAGGACACTATAGTTGTTGTAGAAGGCTACTACAAAATGCATTGTCATTCAGTTGTTAAAAAAAGAACAGAAGAACTGTTATTTCAGGCTTACCGTCATTCACCTGCTCCAGAAGTCTACAGGCCATCGATTACTCGGGAGAAATCCCTGGAAAGAGTTGCGGTATGTTCATCTATGCTATTTGCTAAGAACCGAGCTTCGTTGAGTAATCTGCCTCGGTCTTCGTGTTCGTTCATCGAAAAGCACTTTTCTTAGGCGTATCGTCAATCTCCAGCACCAGAGACATTCAGACCCAGCATCACGCCTGGAGTGTCACTTGAGAACGTCGGCGTGAGTTCAGGAACATTTTTGGAGTTACACAACAAGAAATTTATTTGAAAGGATTACAGACTATTCGCGAAACACCGATACCCGATGTTCGTAGAAGCAGTATAACACGAGGAGCGTCCTTGGAGAGAGTCGGGGTTGGTTTTCGAAGACTTACATATCTAAGTCTTCTCAGGCATTTACAGACGAATCGTCTTGAAAACTAAAATCATCCCAATTAATGATGGGTTATAAAACAGCGAACTTCCTCTGAATCGCCACCGGATACCTTCTATGAGATTGACCCACTTTAAAGGCACAGTTCACATAATGTTTCTCGTCGAAAAGCGGGAGTATAGGATGGTAATAGTTAATCGGTAGTGAAGTGAGCAAGGAAATTCACCTGTTTGGTGAAAAACCTCAAGGTAAGGAAAATAGAGGTTGAACGAGATTACCGTGACGGAAATGACATGGAGGGGGTATTTGGTCGAGATCTCAATTGGTACAGTTGCCCAAAGAGCGGCTACATCAAGCCAGAACTGTGCAAACCTGCCATCACTTTTGCTATGGGTCATGACAAGCTGTTTGAACTTTCTACACGGATTCCTTCGTGATCGGTACAACCTATGCAATGCTGGTGAAACTCGTCTAAAAATATGTACACACGGGACAATCTTTTAGCTATTACAACACCCTAACTAGGCCTTCTTTCAACTTTAGCGCTAGATATGGTGTGCGAGGGGCGCCGAATTCATCCTATGGCGAAATCTCACGAAACCATTTTTATTGTGAACTGTGTCTTCGAAGGCACAATAGTAATCAACTCACATGGAAGAGTTACAGACTATTCACGAAACACCGATACCCGAAGTTCGTAGAAGCAGTGTAACACGAGGAGCGTCCTTGGAGAGAGTCGGGGTTAGTTTTCGAAGACTTACATATCTGAGTCCTCTCAAGCATTTTCACAACAGCCAAACATCATACCTGAAACAGCAAGAGTCACCGTCGTAGCCGATGAACAAATTGGTGGGAAGAAAAAATTATTGGAGAAACTGGGAGACAGTAATGTGTTCGTGTGAAAGAACATATAGCTAACAAGCGAAGTTCTTGCTCGATTGTACCGCTTGGGAAGCACAGAAGGGAAGGTCATGCTGATTGTGACTTTGACGTTAAATGCACCATTTTGACCTACGAGGACAGTATTGGTGCCAGAAAACTCTCGAGGCTTTTTGGATAAGACACCGAAATCCAAGCATGAATAACAAGAATGAGTGCATCATCATAACT